CCCCTCCGGCAATAGCCTCGCCCAACCCGCTACCAACAACAGTAAACCCGCGGTATATTTTCAATGTACAACCAAGCATTTAGCTGCTATAGCCCATGGAACGAGGGCGCACAGCATACGGGTTGTCGTATAATCCAAGAACTGGTGATTGCCACATTGAACGGAGTATTCTGCTGTACCCAGTGGTAAACAGGGCGTAGGCGAGAGAAGGTTTCGTGTTAACCGTGTGGTGGCGCACCAACTCCATGACCACCGGGTATATATATATATACTCGTTAAACCCCGATGCCGCCGATGTTGACCGAAGTTGGTAAATCCGAAATGCCGAGGGTTGCCGAATGCCTCGGTTAACTTGCTGACATGGCGTCCTAGGCGCACTGGCAACACAAGTCGCGCACCGTCTCCCCCTGAGAGCGTAACTGTTCTGACAACCCCACTCGGTGGGTTTTTTTTTTTAATCAATTACGCATCCTGGAATTTAGGATGCCAAGGTAAGTTTTTTTTTCTTGTGCTTTTGTCGGCTTTTCCGGACTTTTTAGTGTATTTTTCACGTGAAATGAAGCGGGATTTTGTGGCAAGGAGTGGAATTTTATTTGAAAATTATCGGGTGAGAAGGATGTGGGGTGGAGCAGTGAGAGGTACGTCACCCACCGACGGGGCGAGGAGGGGCGTTGAGAGGGGTGGGAGGTGGTGTCGTGTGGTTTTTCGATGCGTGTGTATGAGTGTGTGTCTGTGTGTGTGTGTGAAATAATGAAAATTGAATTTAATTTCAGGTGGGAATCGATCAATTGGAGATTTTTTTTTCAATTTGTGACTCAGTGTTTTGCGAGTGATTGAGATTTAATGACGAATACATTAAGACGATAATGTTTTCAGTGAAGTCGTTATCGTTATCAAAGCGGGTGGATAATTTTTTTTTTCAAACGATCGAAATAAAATGTACATCGATGTCACGGGTGCGGGCGCTCTGGGGGCCGTGCAGGGTCGTTGCCATCGGGCGGTGCTACCCCGGCATTACGACGGAATCGATATCGGAGGAGAGAGTGGAGAGAGAATTTTTTTTTTTTTTTTTTTCGTGAGAGAGGGGGGGAAACGAGAAGGGCGAATGAGAGCGTAAAAGGCTGGAGGAATGTTAACGTTAGTTGTGAGGGGATTTTGTGGCTAGAGGGAGGGGGATTGTTTTTGAGTTTGACGATGCGGGGGATTTTTGGAACGTCTCGAGTAGTTACAGAAAGCGCTGGCGCAGACAATTTTGCGCGGTTTTTCAACGCGCACGTGAGTCGAAATCAAAACAATCTGCATGGGCATGAACAATTGTTTATTTGGAGGATTGGAAAGGGCTTTCGACAGGATTTAGGGGATTTTTGGGGGAAGGGAGAGAGAAAAGCATTTCATTTTCATTTTTATTTCATAAAGACCCAACAGCACAAGGCCAATTACACCATCAAATGAAAACGCACATAAAGTTGATAAATGAAAATATTGATACATAAAATTCAACGGAACTCTCATGGCGGAAAGTATTACTTGAATACGACTAAATATCCTATTTATATAACTTACATAGCTTATGTTGTTGTTGCTGTTATTTTGCTTCCGACTGAAAACTTTATAATCGTCCAAGTTCAAGTTTTCGATTTTTTGTGTTAGTACGACAATGGAAAATTTAGACCTCAAACAAAGGTTTTTGCTCAATTTTTCGCTAATGAATGAATCGTTTTTTTTTTCAACTGTATTGTTGAGCCCTATCGATCGCCATTGATTAAAATTGAATTTGAAGTGTGGGGGATGTGATTGAGAGGAGTTCGAAGAAATTTTGGGTTTGGGGTCTTGGGGGGTTTAATGGATTTTAAAGTTATTTTAATTAGTATTCGGGTAGACATAGGGGCCAACGCCCTGTGCGGATATGTCTGGGGTTACGGACTTTAGAGGGGTGGTCAGACAATTTTCATGGATGAAATGGAATAGGTGATTTGTGAATTAAATAGGCCGGTGGTTTTAGCGCTAATGGATGAGTTACTGTTCAAAATTGAACATGAATAAGTTGGCGAGGGTTGCGTGAACGTTTTTTTGAGTTAAAGATGCTGAGGATTAAAAAAAAATTTCATCAAGAACAGTTTAAATTGATCTGTTGATTAAATAATTTTGAAATTTTACCACAAATTGACGAATTACTGCTGAAAATTAATAGTAAAAATAATTCTGTAGGGATGCCTAAATACTTCTTCCCATAACAAATTCAATGAAATGGATTTCATCACAAATCGAACCAAAATAATTATTTCCACTTGAGCAATTAAACATTGTCGAAGTTTGAGTAAATATTTTTTTCAATAAAAAAATCCCGAGAATTGAAACAAACACATAAACAAAAACGAAAAGTTGATCTGTTTACTAAATAATTCAGGGAACTGACATTCCAAGGATTTTAAATAATTAGATCCACTCAACCATTAATCATAAAAAAAGGATAAAATAATCCTACACAAAAAAAACAGAAATCAAACCAAAATGATAAAAAAAATTGAACCATAGATCCAAGAACCCTTGAAAATCCTGGACAATTGGCAAACCCCTTGACAGAAAAAAGACGTGAAAAATGATATTTTTCCGCACGTACACAGCCCATAGGCGCCACCAACCAACGCCCCGTGTGGAATATAATACCCGGGGTTGCTGTTGGCCACTTGGGTGTGTGTTCGTTCTCACTCGGGCTGACTCGTTCCCTCCCCGACTTCTCTATTCCATAAAATCCCGTGGCTCAGTACGATCGGCGTCCATCCTCCCTCCAGCCTAAAACCCTCTCCCTCCCACCCCCTCACCCCTCATCCCATTACAGTATTTTCTCGCCCCACCCGCCCCTCTCGTATCACTTATAAATTTGTGTTGGTTGGTAACACACGCGCGCGCGCACTCACCCCCACTCACCTCCTCGACTCCCCCGTTTGTCCATTCACCGAGGCTCCTTGCTTCCCCTTCAGTACGTTTCTTTCCCCCGTAGCGCGCGGGTTGCGTGCAACAACTTCAAGGAAACGAAGGCGTACCTTTTTTTTTTTTTTAATTTCTGTTCAAGTGAAGTGACGGAGTGATTTTAATTTTTATTTGTGAAATCCTGTCTGTTTTCGTGGCTTATTTCGAGGAAATCAGGTGAGCGTGCCCTATCAGCGAATTTTTATCACTCAATTAATTTTTTTTTTACGGTTGTTTTGGTTTTTGTCGCGGCGACACGTGCTGACGAGTGATTTTCCACTGGCGTTGGCCATTTTTATGGGGTTTTTTTTTCCGGCTTCAGAGGGTTTTAGTTTCAGGGAAAACCTCGCGGAAAAGGCGAGACTGTTTTTTTATGCTTCGGTGGTACTCATGGTGAAGACCTACTTTCGTACGGGAATTCTAACGGTTATTTTTCACTCCCCCTGCGGTCGCCTCGCGACGCGATTTCCGAGGATTCTGATTCAGGGGAAATTAGGGGGGGTTTTTCGCGGCCCCGTCAGCAGGGGGGGTGGGGGATACGACGTGCCACGTGGTGTCACACGCTTGGGAGAGACCATCAGACGTGAGGCGAATTGCAGTCCTAACCTCAACTGTTTTGTATCCACGCTCATATCACAGGAATGAAATTACGAAATTTGTGGATGGAGTGAAACGCTCTCCCCGGGGAGGGGGGTGGGGAAATTTCAAGTGAAATGTCCAGGCATTTTTTGGAGATAATGAGTCTTAGTAATGGGGAAATAGAGTGGTTTCGATGGATCATAAGTCAGGATCGGCTGAGGGGATTTCGGCAATTTATTTCATTTTAAAGATTTTTTTTTTGGAGTTTGAAAGGAGAGGTGAGTCGTTGAAATTGGATCATTGGATCGGGAGATATTGAGAATTAATAAAGGGGATTTTCAGTTCAACTTCAATTTAATTGAAAAAATTATTGAAAGATTCTGGTCATCATTGGATAGTTATCACACGAATTTCGTCAGTTTTTTTTTTTTTTTTCATTAAAAAAATATGCAGTTGTGGTGGATTTCGTTCGGGACGCAAAGTAGACTGTTTTTTGAATTTTGAATAACTTGAGATTGGCGGAGTGTGAAATTTCCCATTTTTTTTCATTTTGAGGATTTTTTTTTGGAATTTAAAATGAGACTTAACTCGTTGAAATCGGACCATTGATTGGGAGATATTGAGGATTAAAACATGAATTTCCCGAAAAAACATCAAAATTGCTTGAATATAAACCTCGGAATTCCAGAATATTTCACAACAAACCGGTCATTTCCTGCCAAAACCATTGAAAATCGTCATGGATCCCTCAGAGATAACCATCAATCACTAGATTCTCCAATATTAAGAGAATTTACAGCTTACATTGATTAAGGTTTCCATATAATCATCGAAATTAAAAATGTGTATAATTTTATCTTATGATTATGACTATCTCTGCTCCCCTTTTACCCTCAATTCAATTACCATGCATTTCCTGCGGGTTAAGATTTAAAATAGCGTGACGATTTTATCGCCGAGGGGTTGATTACCAGCACCCACTATTAGAAACATCAGCATTCACATACCATGAACTCTTGGGAACTTGCACGGGGGCGAGGTAATAACAGAAATAAATGAGGGGATGGCCCGGGTGAAGGAAGGCTTCGGGACGAAAATACATCCGTGCGCGAGAGACGTCTGACTCTCCTGTTCTGGGGCTAAATAAATTCATTCAATAATCAACTGCTAAAATCATTTACCGCTATAATATTTAAAAACAAAATTTAGAAACAAAAAAAATCAAAATGATCGAGAATCAAAAATTAGAAGAACAAATATCTATATGTTCCCGAATTTTTGTGAAAAATGCCCCGGAAAATATGAAATCAGCCACACATTCGAACACAACATCAATTCTAATCAATCAACAGTTTTTGAACATCATGAATAATTTACATATACCTTTTCATCAAAATTACTAACATTTCAACAAGCTAAAATTATTAATTTTCAATTTAATCAGCAAAAAATCAACTCATCAAGTAAAACATCTACAATAAAACAAGATTAGCCACATTTTTGGGTAAATATTATCATTATTATTATTATTATTATTGTTATCATCATTTGGGAGGAATAATTATCGTGCAACAGAGCGAGAAAGAAAAGTTGAAAAGGGGGTGTCCTACGAAGCGAAAAGTAGTCTCGAGTTTCCGTGAATGCACCTGCAAGTGAAGATAGACCTCTAGATGAATGTTTATTCCCATCAGACAATTTGATGGGCTGTCTAAGGCTCTACCCCTGGGTTGATGAATGCGACCCTTCTTATACCCCCGAAGTCGTTTTGCTCCCAGGGTTGGCTGACTCGAAGCATTTCCGGGAATACACCTGTCTGCTTCAGTCTATTTCTCTTGGGTATTCTAGTGGTGCTCATCCCCCGTGAGTTTTTGTTATTACTGTTCGTTGGGCATTGTGAGATTTTTGGAGAGATCTAAATCTTTTTTTTTGGGGTTGATGATTT